GGGGTCGGGTGAATGTAGGCTTTCAATATATTCCAATCCCAAACAGGTCGTGTTTCTCAGAGCCAATGCTTATGGTCGACTCACATGTCTTCACCACACCCGCATGGGTTTTGGCCGCCTCCCGTTCTCTTCTACGGTGGATCGTGCAACAGCTGAACTCCCCAACTTTAAGACTTCTCGTTTCACAAACTGGACGCACGCTCGACTGGTTGCCGCCAGACTGATCAGTCCAGTCCACAGAGTGAAACCTCACAGAGTCCACCTCGATAGCAACCGCTGTGAATTCTTAGACTGATCAACTACACCCGGGAAGACTAACATGGAACCTGAAAATGGACCAGACTGGAAGGCGATGTTCCTCTACAACCCAGTGTGTACTTCTAGGTTCCATGTGGGTCTCTTCCGGGGTGTACTTCTGAAAGCTTCTAGCGTCACAAAAACGACCTCAGCACCCCGGTGACCCACAACGAACACCCGTCCGGTCACGCGGTCCTCGGAGTGCCCGCGGTCCGCGTGTGACTGGTGAAACACCGCGGCCATGGCGCGGATGGCAAAGGCCAATGGATCGATATCTCCCTGCATGTCTTGGCCCTGAACGAGCTCTAAGGTCTTGGGCATGTCTTGGCACACCCTAATGAAACCTACTTGTTTTCGTTAAAGAAAGGACTGTTACTGTAACTATGATTGTTTGGGGCCTGTTCCGTCCAGGCCTGGACATCGTCGCTCCGAAGCGAGTGCTAAACACTGCGCGGTCATCCGGACTTACGAACGGAGGTCCCACTGGATCAGCTTGGAAGGTTCGAGGCCCCGGACTTGTTCATCACCGAAGGTTTTGCTTGACGGGGCTTTGCAAGCGGTCAGGTCTCTTGAGCCCTGTCAGCCAAAACGAGACGGGCTGACCGACCTCGATCCGAGAGTGAGGCTGCAGCTAGTGCCGCAAGGTGTGTTTTCACCATGGCAGTATACAACCTGGGCAAAACCTTAGATCTACAGTTCTTGCAAAAACACTGAAACAAGGCATAAGAAGCAATGTCCTGCAAAGGGTCCTTCGTATATATAACTAATCTCTAAATATGGGTTGATCTCTTTAGATCAATGGATCCAACAACCCAAGAAATGACCCTAAGAAGCTCTCTGAAAATGACAACAAACAAAGCAGATGTCTTGAATCTTGAACATCCTGTTGACATATCTGATTGAAACATGTATCCACATGAGCGATTGCCAAAACTTATTTGCATCGCTGAAGTTTATCAGAATTTGGTGAGTGTAGAATTGTGTTCCATGTTTGCTGTGTCCATCACGTTATCCTGCTTGGTGAGTGTGTTGTCATTATTTGAGCAAAGCATGATTTTTTAGATCCTACGCACTCACTGGCTACTTGTCATGATCATTATTCATATTTATCCCAGTTCACATCCATATCATATCCAATTGGTCTATTAAACCTACAAACATCTAGCACAAACCATGTAGCAGTCAAACTTTAATACGCTCAATGACGTTCCATAAACAACTTGGGACTTAGGTCATCCGTCCTCCTTACGATAGGGTGTGAGCTGCAACAGTTGTCCTTGGCCAAGTCACAGTGCTCTAACCCAGCTTTGAGCTCCTCCAGCTGTTAGCTTACTAGTAGCTTCTTGTTACTAGTAACTTAGTAGTATTGCCCTTAGCCCTTAGCTACTAGTAGCGATGCACCTTGTTACTAGTAGCTTCATGACTCCAAAAATAGATGGTGCATTCCTGAGCAACTTCACAGCCACAATCATGTCTGCGTTCTGTTGGGGTGAGGGTATCATTGGCAGACTTGGAAGACTAACGTCACAAGAAACTCCTGCGACTCAGCAACGACTTAGGGACTAACCAGCTTGCCTCCACACGACTCAAGCCTTTGGCCGCGTACTGATCCAAGGAGACCTCACTGGGACAAAATGGGCAGAACACGGGTAGAACGGTAGAACAGACCGTCATTCTTGTTCAGAACCTTTTCGGTTTGTTTTTGTTCCATGGCATAGGACCCTCCAGGACCCTCCAGGTCTCTAGTTCATTGGGCAGAACCCGTATCTCAAAAATATTTGAAGAGGGGGATCGTTTCAGGTGATGTTGAAACGGTTTCAACTTCCTCAGGTGATGTTTTATAATTTGTTTTTATTGTTTTTTCAGGTGATAGTTTCAACTTTCGTTCGAAGAGGGGGGATCAAATGTGATACGTTCACGATGGTTCACGGTTTCCAATATCTTTAAAGGGGGGCACTACCTAGAACCCCCCATGTCGCGAAATAAAAGGAACACAGTTTTTTGCATTCAAAAAGGTAACACAAATGGAAAAAGGGAACATTTCCTAAAAGGAGGAACAAAGCAATCATAGTGAACAAATGGAATACCGGGAAAGGCATGTAGCGGTCAATCACTGCCATGTTTCCACCTTAGGCTTTCTTTTGCACTCGCTTGGAACGCCCCATTCGCTGACGGTGCGAGCCGAAAGAACAATGAATCCCTGGCGGTGCAACCACACCACTTTCGGTTCAGTTTTAGTGGGTTTGGCCATCAAAGTGTCCCTTTTTGGGGATTTGGAACATATTGGAACCCAGAACAAGAGGGCTCTAGCTGGTGAGAGCTGCAGCGCCATGTAGGGATTCTGGTCAAAGTCTACCTGTGCAGACTCCCGAGGGAAACTTCAATGGTGCTTGCAGTCAGTTCTGCAGCCAAGAAGATCTGGAAGAGATCCAAGTTGCTCCCAAGAATCCTTTATTAACATTCTTTATAAAGACATTCATCAACTCTTATAGGAACTTCAACACCTGGCACACGACCAACACGCCCCAGCCAGCCCCCCCGGCTGGCACCACGCCCAACACATCGATGTCCAGCCACGTTGTCGATGTGGTGCACCTGGTGATCCGCGAGTCGGTCGTTGGATCATTACGCAGGCACGGTGGTCTGGTGCATTTTCACCAAGGGCCGCTTCCCGGTGGGTTCCATCCTGTTCCAGGTAACGTGTGTTTCCCATTTGATGAACTGAAAAATCCACCAATTCTAGAGTCTAGAGAGACTTGAACTGTGTCACTCACCAAGGGCCCAGGTCGGGCAATGACGCCCCAGGTGTTGACACTTCTGACACTTCGATTGAACGAAAAGCGCCCCAGGAGAGTGACCAGTTCGAAGGAGCTCAGCCGTGAAAAAACATCTGCTGAAGTTGCCGGCACAGGGAACGTTCGTTCTGGTTTGCGGTGTGCAAGATCAATCGATCAACAGGCAGCGGCATCAAACATGAAATTCCCTCAGGTCCAGGTACAAGCTTCTTCAAAGTGACCCATTTTACATCGTTTTACAATGTTTTAGATTTTCCAAAGTGACATTATATATAGAAGGCGTGGTGCCATAGAAATGCCTCAGGGCCTATCTCTATGCCTATCTAGTCAATTTGAAGTGCCAATCGAAGAGAAATGACAACGCGTATTCAATTCCCAGACACTCCATGGGACTGGCATATTTACATTGGGGTGGTTGAAGAGGGGTCAATGTAGGCATATATACCAGTCCCATGGAGTGTCTGGTCAATCATTTAGGCGCAACGTTTGCTATCGACAACCAGCAATTTCATCTGCACCCAATCCTCCTTCTGTGCGACTCGGCGGCGGAGAGTCTCCAGTCATCCACGCGCTTCCAGAAAAAAAGAACAAGAAGGTTCATCATGGTTCATCCATCCCTCATTCCTCTGCTCCTTGGGTTTGCTCAGTTGGCCATGCGAAATGCTCTACTTGGTGGGTCAAAGGCACCATGACCACTCCACCCCCCAAAGATATAATCACACGAGCACATCGTCGACGAGTTGTGGTTTACGCCGAACACCGAGCACTGAGCGCGAAACCGGAATGGGTATGCCCACCACACCACGGACCGAAGATCACAAAGCCAAACCGAGACAGCAAAACCTCCAAAATTCTTGGCTTCAACCATCTTCAACCCGCGGAAAACGCCGCTTCAGAGCGGCTCTACCGCCCCCCCCCCACCCGACGATCCCGTCCCCCGGTCGTATGCAAACCGAAGAACCACGGAGAGAAGCAGCGTGACGTCACAAAGGTAGCCCGGCTGGGAGGCCAAGGCAGCGACCTAGACTCGTCACAGTCGATGGTTGGTCACCGTGACCTCGACGTGCTTGGTGATGGTTTTTTGTGTCCTCCTTTTTTTCGAGTTTGGTTTGTACGTTCTCGGTGGCAGTTTCATCGAATATATTGGTCATAGGGTTCCAAGTACCTTCTGAGAAGGTGTTTGGGGTGAGTTTAGAGGGTCCAAATACCTTGTGAGGAGGTACGACTGGAGCCTGGGGAGTAATGATTAAAGCTGGAAACAATGAGTCATGAAAACAAGCCATATGGTCACCGAGTCGGTTGTAGTAGTCGACATACCAGTAGCGGATTCTTCCCTGACCCTGACACGAAAAAAACAAACACAAACATCATCAAACATCTCAAAATGCACTTTCAAATTCCAGTTCAAGACAGGGCAAGTGAGAGTTCTTGCCCTATTTCCTACTAAACACGATTTTGCGGAGGCCAGGTGCCCACCAAATCAGCAAAGGATCCAACTCACCCAATCTCCTCTCTCCACGTTAGCTTCATCATGCTTCATCTCCTCCGTGTGTCTTCTACTTCCTCGCCCCAGTCCCATGCGCCCGGTCTCACCCGCGCCAGCCCCACCCGCCCGGTCCCGCGCCTTCGTCAGGTCCCAGACGTCGGGCGCCAGCACGCAGTTCGTCAAGTTTCTGAGCGACCGAGTGGCGACCGAGTCGAACGGGGTGCCATCGGTGTCGACCGGGGAAGAGGTCAGACGGGTGCGGAAAACACCATGGAGTGCGGCACCTAATTAACTATATTCAGCTATATATAGGGGGAAGTGAAATGGCTGACCATGCATTGACGGGTCCTTGAGTGGCCAGTATGGCTTGGGACAGTCACCACCAGATCTCGCCAGGCTTGCGCGGAAGAACCATGTGGGCCACATGGCACCGTGGCAAATGGTTTCATCTGTTTTGAAGTCCGTTGAACTGAGGACACCGTCTTTTCACACCGTGCATGGACTCTCATCATGTCTTTGGTGGCAGTGGTTTTGGTGTCTTTGGATGGCAGTGACGCTGAGCAAAAGACCCATTTCAAGGTGTTCAAGAGATGTTGGATGAAGCTGCTCCTACATCGATCACTTTGACCTCTCTTAAGGGTTCTCCCTGAACTTTGTGGGCCCTTCAAGAACGTTCAATGGATGCCCGCTTACCGTAGAGTGTGGCACATATGTGGATATATATACATCATACCTAGATCCTCCAACTGTGCAACATGGTTTCTTTTTCAACTATAGACCCAGGCAGCTGCAAAAGGACAACATATTGCATAGTTGGAACCCTCACACAAAATAAACTCAATTGTTCAATCATCAGCTAACAGAAATGTACCTTTTTGAATTTCTCAAATACATCAATGTTCACAAATGATATGACATTCCTTGCAAGTCGTCAACATGCTATCAACTGCAAAGTTGCACTGAAAATTGAGGGTACCCAAGGATTCCATGTTGAAAACCAACTGCTGATCAAAGCCGTGAATGCCATCTCCAAGCGGGGCACAATGTAATTCGTTGAAGCGGCATCCATTGATGCATCCGAATGATTCCACATGTGCTCCTAAAGGAACTCTCGCTTCACTCTTTACGGTGAAAAACGTGTTCAGTCAGCTCTTAAAGCATCTCTCTGCACATCTGGGCCCGGAGAAACTGCTGTTCCGATTTAGAGACAAATGAGGGGATCAAAATCACATCCGCCACTTGCCACTTCTGGATTCCCTTGTCCTGGTCCTCCGGTCCTTGGATTCCTCTGCTCTTCTGGGATTTTTCATTCCAGCATTCTGGAAGATGACTTTCCGCCTGTCCAGCAGCTCCATTTAGCTTTGACCTGTCTGACTGCTCGGTTTCTTCAGACCAAACAAACGACTGCGAGCAACGGGACTTCCGTTTTGGATGAGCATCCTCTCCACCAGTCACTCAAACTGGTCACTCAAACTTCCACGTACGACTGCAAGGCCGAATCTTCCGAAACAAGACCCTTTCGTGGAATGGCCCCCAAACAAACAAAAGCAATCCGTGATGCGCAAACAGCTTGCATGGTGCGAAGTATATGCACATCTTTGCCTGTACCACGCCCAGCCGCCCAGCCAGTACTAGGTGAGCCGGCTGACTTCTCCAGCACTGGAGTCCGGCGACGCTGACACTGTCTACATCCCGACACACAGCTTAGGTCCCCCGGCAACCGTTGGATCCTTGGCAAACACCGGTTTTGTCGAACCGGGTCCGATCGTGGATGTCGAGTAGCTGATTCCCGCAAACATCAGGTCAATAGCAGGAACCGGTGCCCGGTCCGATCCAACAAATAGAAACATATATCCGCCGACCCCTGCGCGCCAGAGAATCACCGGGTCTGCCGGGCTCTGAGAGGAGGTCCGAGGACGAATTATTATAAGTGGTTGGTGGCGGGGGCATCGGCGGAGGCTGGGTTTGGGCCTCGAGAACGGCTCCTGGAAGAGGAGAAGAAGAGATTTTTCAGACTGCCGTCAGAAAGCAAAATTTGGAACTGAGAGAGCATTTTCAACCGTTTTTGGAGTGGAGTTAGATTGTGGAAGGCTGAAAATAGGCCAACATAGGCTCAACATGGGCCCAACATAGCCCCAAGATGGGCCAAGATAACGCCAAGATGGGGCAACGCAGTGCCAGCATCGGCCAAACATCCGCCCACGATGCAGATGAAGCACACCGGTGCGGCACGCATTTCCAGCATTATTTGGGCCTATGTTGGGCTATGTTGACCCATCGTGAGCAACAAGCGCGGAAAAAAAAAACGTAGGCGTTTCTGGGGCCCGGACCTGGGGGCGGCTACGCTTTCTGCTTCGCAGAAGGAGAGCTCCCCTGGAGGGACACGGCCCTGACGGGGCTCACGCCCCTGGCCGGATAGGCGGCGCGCCCGTTGCCGCCGACCCACCCCGTGTTCACCTCAGGTCGTGTAATTTACAATGCTTTGTGTGCGTGAGGTTCAAAAAACATTGTGCTTTACAGGGTTTTGTGGGGGTGGAAGATCAAAAATTTGTGGTGGCGGAATGGTGAGGAAATGCAAAAACTGTGGGCTTTACAAGGGTGGTGTCGGTAACGCGCGCCGCGCGGACGTGCATAATCGGATCCATTTGGGCGATGGCGCGTGCCAACATAAATTGCGCAAAATGTGCCCCAAGATGACCTAACAAAGGCCCCAAGATGCCCAACATAGGTCCCACATATGCCCAACATAGCTCCAAGATGGACCAACATAGCCTCAAGATGCGCCAACATAGGCCCCAGATGGCATCAACGTGCGGCCTAGATAGGCCAACATAGGCCCAAGATGGGTGTAAGCTGGGCCCAGGTTTACGGGTGAAATATGGAGTTTTCGGGGTTGCAGACAGAAGCGTCTAGATTGGCCCTGGCGAAAACCATATGTTTTACAGTGTCTGCGGGGCTGCGACTGGATTGAACGTGCGCGAAAGCCATGTGCTTTACGGTCTTCTCGGGGTTGCGGCGAGAAGCGTCCGGGCTAGACATGTGGGAGAATCAACCTTTACAGGAGGAGGATGCTGCCGGGGTCTCCCACCCGTTTCCTACCTATCCCTTCCTTCTCTCTCGTCCCTGCCCCGGCTGTCAGGCATAAGGCTTTAAATCCGGCCTGGGGCCCGTCATCAAACCCGGCGCTGGCCGTGTCCTCCCGAACTGTTCTCTCCTCTCCGAAGGAGAGAGCGGGTGCATCCCCTGGGGGGCAACATCCGTCGTGCTTTGCAGTGCTTTTTGCATGCGACGTTCAAAAACATCTCGTTTTACAGTGTTTCGCGCCTTGGAAGATCAAAAGCTTTTGTGGTGGCGAAGTGCGAAAACTGTGGGTTTTACAAAAGTGGTGCGAGTTATGCGCGCCGCGCGGGGTTGCATAATCAGATTTTTGAGGGTGATGGGCCCGTGTCAACATAAATGGTGCAAAATGTACCCGAAGATGATCCAACATCGGCCCAAGATGGGCCAACGTACCCCCAACAACGACCACCACCACCACCACCACAACAACAACAACAACGACCACCACTAATGGGCCTCTGGCTGGCTGTCGGGCGTCAGCCCTTAAATATATCTATATATTGAAATCTTCGTACAAACATCTGTATTCATCTTTTAGTTGAGGTTGTTATATACTAGTTACTAGTGCCGGAACCATGCCTAGCCAAAAAAGAACCATGAGCACATGGATGTCCTGGCATCAACCGGCTCAACGACAAGCCGCCGGCCCGGCAAACGTGGGTTCACGACCGTGGAAACGGGTGGGTGATCCGGTGTTGTTTGTTGGTGGCATGTTTCCGGTTTTGTGGCGTCCGATCGCTCCGTTCGCAGCGATGCCCGTGTTTTTCCGTTCGTAGCGTCCGATCGCTCCTAGTAGTACGGCCAGGAGCCCTATTAGTAGCGTACTTGCTCCTCTTGGTTTCCCTTAGCCATACATTTCAATGTTGGGCACTTCGCCCAAGAAAAAGATGAAAAAACAATGACAGTTCTCAGGATCCATGTGAGGATCCAAGTTGCATAAGCATTGGGAATCCCATTCTTGAAATCAATTTTTTTTGAAAACAACTCTTGTGTAGCGCTTGTAATATGAGTTCAAACGCAAATGCATTGAACATACCTCGTTCTATTGGATCCCATCCGCGCCGTTTGTTCGAAGATCGACGCCCCAGTCGTCACGGGCGCTACCAGGTGGCCATTTCAGGTGTGTCTGAATGGCCCTCGTCTCAATGATCTGCTCCTGGTCGGAGCAGTAGATCGGGAGCAGCAGATCGTTTCAGGAGCAGCCCAGGCCCAGGCAACCGTCGCCAACAAATAAATGTATTTTATAGTAGCGTCCTTGCTCCGTTCGTAGCGATGCCCTTTGTTACTAGTGGCTTCTTGTTCCTAGTAGCCTTCTTGCTCCTAGTAAGGCCAGGAGCCCCGAACGAAGCAAAACTCGGTTTTCTGCGGACCTTCCATCTTGGGTGCACAAAAAAGGTCACAACGGCACAGGTCACAACGGCACGTTTGTCCCAAACATCGCCACGAATCGATTTTTCCCGCAACGCAATCAACGAACCATGCTGAAGTATACTAGGGTAACTTATATAACATTATATAACCACTTTAGATAGCTATAGTAACCACTAGGGTAACTATAGTAACTAAATAGTATACTTCAACCACTTATAGATAGCTATTCCATGTATACTTCCTATAGGTGGCGCTGAAGTAAACATCACAAACAGGAAAAGCTCAACCCTTATAGTAACCATTGGCACTGAACGACGAGCTGCAGCATTTTGGATTTGAATCGGGTTCAAATTGCTCAGACAGTCACACGGACACACATCCTTCAGCGGCAACACGCACCAAGAAAGCCAACAGCACAGCAAGGGCATCTAGCCCAACAGCACAAAACAACAGACTACCATCCATGCACTTCCATGTTGATGACTTGGAGAGTCGTTGCTTGGTGCCGTTTTGCTTCTCTTTCTGCTCCCCTCCAACCAATCCCAAACACTCCATGGGACTGCCAGGACGGACTGCCGCCCCAGACAGACCCCTCTTCAACCACCCCAATGGGGACGGTAGTCCCAGTCCCGAGTGTCTGGAAGAACGACAACGATGTGAGAAGACTCACTATCTTCACCGTCTCGCCGTCTCGCCATGTACCCCGTCCTGCGAGCCGTCCACTCCAAGCGTGCCATTCCCGATGCCTACCTGGAGAAGGTCTCGGTTGAAGCTGCGGCTCCCCATCCAGACTGGTGTTGTGGAGGGGGTGATCAGGTGACCTCCAACCTTTTTGAGGCCTCCAACGTGTTGGGTTGGCCGAAACTCGGATCGTGCGAAGGAATGCCGAACGAAGAAATGAGCACCCGTTCGGCCCACTTGGATTCTAGCGGGCAGCGGAAGGAGTTTCTGTTATAAGGAGACTTTTCACACCAACGATGTGATCCAGCTTGGTGGGTTCTTCTTCTTCGTGGCTTGCAACAAGCTGGTGGCTCAGCAGCATCAGCGGTAGCAAAGTAGGGCTTGGCAAAGGGGTCGCGGTGTAGACTCTTGAAACTTGGAACCAACAGCATTGCCCTCCCAACAGTCAGCCATTGTCTCACCCTAGGCTTGATGGGCTCAACATGAGCAACTCCATCGCGGCTCTCAACCAGCAAAGGGGTCAACCCAGGTATCAAGAACAAAGGCCTTCATGGCCCATGTAGAACCCATCTTGAGCCCTGTACTTCATCCTTGCAGGGAACAGGTTGGTTGTGCATTGGTTGCGCAAATCGCGGTATCCTGAGAACACTGTTGACCAGAGAATCCAGGGCTCCACGAGTCCCCAGCAGAAAAGCCTCTGAACAGGCCTCTTCAGACCACGTGCGGAAAGGCGGTGGAAAACGGCACAGTCGACGTCATGGTTCTTCTGTGCTCATTCAGTAACCTGCAGAAAATGATGGAAGTCGGAATCTACCAGCACCACTTGCCTAAAGACACAGGCATTTACCCTGCAATGGCCCAGGTAAACCTTCCCCCAGACACCCCCTGAGGCGAGGAGGAAAACTCTTCGAGAAAGTATTCTTCAATGGAAAATAGAGCCTCACCTATCTGATTTTTTCCCAAGAAACACCTCCCGACTCCCTAACGGAACTTTAACTTTACCTAAACCATCCTAAAATGCAATAAAATGCACTAGGTTTGGGTAGTGGCCAGCTGTCAGTGGTCATAGCTGTCATAGCTACTGCCTGCGTTTGTTTCCGAGTCGCAGAGCCCTCCACGCCCACAATCTGCGCATTGGGATATGCCACAGCGGCCTCTGCGCATCGATCTTTGGGTAGAAAACCCCGGGGGCCGACCGTGGTTCTTTGGATGACCGCGGTTCTGGCCTCGCTTGGTTCTTTGAGGCTTCAACAAGGGGGCGCCACTTGCATCATTTCACGGCGTGACCAGGCGGGTTTTGGGGTTACGGTTCAGCCACCCTGTCAGCGCCATGACGTGTGACCAGGCATACACAGCACATGTGGGAAGGCTTTGGAGTATCACTGATCACCATTGGCGGGCGATGAGCTGTAAAATCGGAGCATCAAGAAAACCTTTACCAGGTAGACGAGCCACCAACAGTAGACCTCTGTTGTAAAGCTCTTGCTTGCACACCAAGGGATGATTATACCAAGAACATCCACTCTGTCCGTCACTCTGTCCGCTGTCCAAACCGGTCCGACCGGTCCCGCAACCAGTCGGAGAATACGCTGCATTCCACGATCCCGCAGTACAAACAAGTGTATGCTACTCAAGTGTACCATACCGTACCTACTGAAAAAAGATGAACGACTTCTTACGAGACTCGATATGGGGGGCCGAACGTGAACCTTTTCGATATGACGTTCAGCCGCGAAATGTCACTGTTTTAAGTTTGAAATGGAATTAAATGACCTAATCTGCCGGCAAAAATGCATCTCTTGCAAGGAACATGTAAGAATCCCTTGCCTTTATGGTTTTACGGTACTGCTTTGGACCTATCGGATGCTCGTTTCCTGGTGACTTGCTTCTATATATGTGGTTGCCAAAATGGAAGAATTGGAGGAACAAACACTCCAAGCTTCCTCACCCTTCAACCTTCAGATCCTGACCTCATCCCACCGAAAGATCCTGTCGAAAGATCCTCAGTTGCGCCTGAAGGCTGAAGAATCCGGAGCAGCTGCCCAAATCCAAAAGGGTAAAACCCGCCTCCCGCTGCAGCCGGGCGCATTACGCGGTTGCGCAACGCACGCGGTTGCGTAATACGGCGCAGCCCGCGTCGTCGCGGGGTCTGGAAAAATACACAGAACACCAGTGAAGAAGACGTTTGTTTGTCTGCGACCGAAGGTTCATGTGCTGCCGAAGATTCCAACGCATTTGGCCAACAGGTCAAAGATTGATGATATAGGCAATGATAGGTCTGAAACAGTAACATCCCTGATTGCGCTTGATTGTATGTCGGCTTCGTCAAACAATAGCAATCATTGTACAACAACAATAGCGGCAACAACAACAACAAGATCGAACAAGAACAAGGTACAAACGAAAAACACAGCGTCTTACTTTGTCTCTACCCCGTCCTAGAAACTAAAACTGCCCCGCTGTTGTTGTGTTTTTGCCCCCAGAAAAACAATATCACCCAAATTGGACCAACCCAGAATTCAGTGAAACAAGTCCAACAAGTCCAGCTACTCAGGAAACCAACATTCCCTCACACCTTCTAACTTTGCCCCCTTGAAGCTCCAGAGATACCAAGCGAGACAACTATGCTGAGCAGCTGCTTTAGCTTCTACCAAAAACAGAAACAATAAAAACAAGGGCAAAGTAAAAAAGACCAACAAAACACCACTTGCGGCAGTGTTGCTTCTCTGTAGCAGCTGGCCCAGGGGTTGCCTTCTGTAACCCCTCCCGCTTCCATTTATATATGGGACCGCTTTGTTCAAAACCAGTCGTGAACGATGAAACAAACAACATGCACATTCAACCGACTTCCTTATACAAATGCACACTGTCCATATTGAAACGGTCCACATATATGGCATATGACCCCGTCGGAGTGGCCGGAGGTCCATCTCCCAGTGCCACCGGTCCTATTCGCCAGGCCTCCAGTCGTACGTTCTGAGAAGGTGAGACTGGGGTGGGTTTGGAGGATCCAAATACCTTCTCAGAAGGTACTTGGAGGCCTAGAGATTTGGGATATTGCTGGATATGTTCATCTTTATTAATGATCATCTCTTTATCACGTGAACATCCGGCCAGACCGCCTCTGATCATCGACCGCACGTTCTCTCCACTGGATTTCCTCGTGATGTCCTCGTCACGTCCCTCGTGATTTCTCCGCGTGCCCACCTCGCCAAAGGCATCCTGGAGGGTGGCATCAATGGCAGCCCAGCCTCAGGGGAGGGCACGTTTGGTCTTGACGTCACCTCCTTGGGCGCTTTATGGTGATGATGGCGACGCTTAGCGAGTCTTAGAGTCATTTTCGGTCCTAACATGCTGTATCAACATAGCTAGTAATACCCAAGCGCTCCATGGGACTGCCATAGGACTGCCGATCAGTTAGGGTGGTGCCAGGGGGGGTCAATGCAAGGCATATATGTTCCATAGTGTATGGGATAGGAAGAATAACAAATCTATCTTGTGATGTCACTTCTGAACTATACTTGGAACAAGTAAACAACCTCAGTCGTAGCATGGACGACGCGCGTGAAATCAGTGTTGCATCTTTCTCTATCATCCTAGGTCCTAGTGCACAACTCCGCTCTTTGAAAATGAGACAGTGGTGACCGACAAACGGGTTTTGGTGACCGATGCTCTCTTCGCGTATTTTTTTGGGGGTATCACAATACACCCAAAACAATCCAAAAGATATTCCAAAATATGCAACCTCAAGTGATGATGGATCAAATTTGCTCAAAAACGACCATGAACTCTGCAACCTGCGTCTTCTAGCACTGTGGCAGGCCTACATTCCAAAGGGAAGATCTAGCACGAAAATGGACACGTCCAAAAACTCATGTTGCCCAGTACAGTAGTACTTTGATCCAATGATCATGGACAAACCTACCTGATGCCAAGCAACATGCGCGCGCCGTGCCCCACGTCACCCTTTGCGGTGTGGCACGTGTGACGTCCAACGCACCTGGTCTGGGATGCCCAACGTGTCACAAAGTGCGGCCAAGGCCTATCAATGTACCTGGCCGGTCGAGAATGGCCACGTGGAAGGTACAAGTCCTTTTGGGCAACGAACTGACTGGTGCGACTGGACTTTGTTCGGGAAGTGTCGCTCCCTGTCGCCCGAGAGTCGATCCAGCCATCTCCAGCCCGAAATCGTTGCCCGAGGCGAAACTTTAAAGATTTGGATTAACAGATTCTCCCCCTTGGTTGTTTGGGATCTCCTCTATGAACCAACCAACCCCCAGTCAAAGACCATGTATCTCGCTCGTCTGGACCGGTCACTGAGGTCTACTGGGTCGTTGTCAACGAACGAGTCTCGGGGGTCTCCAACTCTGTGGACTGGCACCGGCGCAACCCCGACCGGCGCGCAACCGCCCGGCCGGTCGCGTTTCCGGGCGGTTGCTGCCCTGCCTATATCGAGATGTGCAAAGAAACGAGTCAAGGAGACTTGTCTTGCTTGTCTCACTCAGGTGGGTAACCCTAACAGCCACGATTGCGGCAAAAGATGTCTGCATGATGAAAGGCCTGCTGAAGAACCCCAACACCTTCTAGCCTCCACTTGAACCAACACTTAAACTATCTTAAACTTATGCCCACCTGTCTCAGCAATATATAACATCATAATTCCATAGGTCTTTTCAACCTCAATCTTCATTTCAACCAACAAAACAAGAAACTCTTCAATTCACACATGTTGTGCCAACCCACTGGAACATACGCACGGAACAATTATGCACCGTACCTCAGGTACGCGAGCCGCAAGCGAAACGCGCAATACATTTCGCGCGGGCAAATACATAGCTCGACAGGCACCGGCCTACGTTGATTGTGATGGGCAACTGAAATCTTCTGACAGGAACATCTTCATTGCAAAACTAGCGCGCCAGCAGCGTCATGGGTGTGCATTGGCTTTTTGGACACCCCGCAAGCAATGGGCTGACTGTGACTGTTTCATTGCATAAAGCAAAACAACATCCACAGTACAAGCAGGAGGCCTAATCTAAAAGGACAAATGCACCAAATAAGGTACCGAAGGGTTCTGTGGGGATCTCCCTCATCCGATATAGATTCGCGCGACTCAGGAGGCGCCAGATTCGCCCAACCATCCCTTTTCGGCACGTGAACTCGTCCTCGGGCAGTTGGACGGCCAAGCGCGAGGCCGCTGTCACCTGGCCGAAGAGAGAGGTTGAAGAGATGCGCCCTCTCCAGTCTAAGAGTAGCAATCATTCCACAGAACTCCAAAGAAACCAACTGCCTGCGTTTTTTTGGGTCACTAACAACTCGAGCGATTGATAGGTCTCCATTGGACACGATTTCAAGCGATGTTTCGCAAAACCTAGGCCATCCATGGAACTGGAACAGCTCTTTTCCGGTGATGCCTGTTTATGTAAAACACGACGTCAGTGGATGGCACTTGTTAAATCTATGCTCCGGGACCTCATCCGGCCGACGATGAGTCATGGTCAACTCATGTCAGCGGGCTCATGAAGTTCACCCCCGATGTCACGGCTCCGTTTGTTCCGCGGACACCGCCAAGTTGATGTGTGTTCCATGGCCTCTATCGTTAGCACGTTTGGTCAGCCTGACTGGCATTGTGCCTCCAACTTCATTACTATAGTATAGCCATGGCCTCTAAGAGCGATGGCCTGCAACCTAAGAGCTACTTTGAATGCGCCACGACATGGGTCGACGGTGCACCTGCCGCCAAAGCCCTGTCCGGTCCGACTGGGTCCCCCTGACACCCTCAGGGGCACGAAGCCAGCGACTACCTGAGCTCCATGTTTTCTGAGCTCAGGGCAAACACTCCAACCTAAGGGGTATACCTAAGGGCAACACTCCAACAAAAGGGTTTATACATGATCTCTCAACCTATCTCAACCTAAGGGGTTTGGACGTCGACAGGGTGAAACAATAGTGAATGTACAGTATACATTATCTCTCTCTCTCTCTCTCTCCTTCCGAAAGGTGCTGCAAAGACCGTCCAAAATCATCAAACACCGCTGCAACACGTTGGCCTATTCACTAGACGTTCTTTATACTAAGATTATCAAAGCTAATATTTAGAAAAACAATTATACATGTTCCAAGGCTGAAATCCTTTTGTTGTTACATTGGCTGAACTCATAACTATCGATTACTTCTAGATACTTCTAGTCATTATTGAATCGGAGAGCCGCTTCATCTTCACTTGGAACAGGGTAGTTCTTTTGCGGTAAAACGGCACCAACGTAGACAAAGTTGGCAAACCCAGTCCACCCTTCGACTCCACAAATACAGTAGCAATTGGTCGAACCCCCCGCAAGTGACAGGAAAAGTCAAGTCTTCCAAGGGGTACTCTCCACTCTTTCCAATCCCCAAAATGGAGACCATGGGAACCATGGTAGAAGATACTCACATAGCTTCTTGTTACTAGTAGTAAGGCACTTGTTACTACTAGCGATGCACTTGTTCCTAGTAGCTTCTTGTTACTAGTAGTAAGGCACTTGTTACTACTAGCGATGCACTTGTTCCTAGTAGCTTCTTGTTACTACTAGCGATGCACTTGTTACTACTAGCGATGCACTTGTT